TAAATATAATTTTTTTGAGGAAACAACTTAAATGTGGAAAGAGGCCCATTTGGGCGTGGTAGTTGATTAAATAAGTTTTAGATTTACATGCATTTTATACGTTTAGGCAAAAAAAAGTACAGAAAACAAAAAATACGATAAAACAGAAAACACAATTATAAAAAGAAACAAACCATGCTAAATGACAACATCGTAAAATAGTATAAAATACATTCTCAAAATGTATACAATCTAAATATATATATAAATGTATTACGAATATGATCTATTCTATATATATATACACTTAACTTTACATAAATGTTTATGGAACTTACAAGATATTCATACAATATATAACAGAGAAATAACCCCTCCAATAATGCACTTAAACGTACAGACATTTGCATAGTTTGTTGCATTCAAAACAGAAATACAAAAACAAAAATACATTACAATATAAAACTTGATGTTTTTTTAGCATACAATAGAAATCGTAAAAAAACAACACAAAAACAAAAAAAAGTCCCCAAACAAAAACTTAATAAACGGTTTTTTCTAGAGAAAAAACCAAAAAAAAAAAACACAAATTTGTTTTTCTTGTCTGCGGTACAGTTGCGACAAAACGTTAACTGGCGACGTAACAACTGTATCAATGTGCCTATACATGTGTATGTGTGTGCCTGTAAAGCTGTGCGGGATTGACTGCAGTTATTAAAGAACAGGTGGCGCCATCTATGGTGCGCAAATGTTGCACTATATTCGCTTTTACATGGCCGAACTATGCAGTTTTATGCAGAATTTATAAAAGCTTCTAGTTATACGACGATACAAAGAACATATAGTATAGCATATCTATTTGACCTTGAAAGCTAATCTTATGACAGTATATTTATCTTTACATACATACATTCATACCATACATGTACATATGTACATATGTATGTACATACAGATATTTGTATCTTGACATTTGTAATTCTGTCTGATCTCAAATGAATGCGAGAGCAAGAAATGAGTTGTATTTCAACAATCTAAAACGAATAGGATTAGTCATAACTAAAGTGCTGTAGATAAGAAACTCTTATGATTTGAATGTGGCATTTATAAGCACTTAATTAAAAATGTTACGAGTCAAGTCGACTATCGAATGCTCTATAGCAAGGTATTTTATGTTAAACTATGGTAGTCACCTAAAAAAAAAAACAGTTGCCAAAATACAAATCTAGTGCTTTAAATTAAAATAAGGTTATTTATTATATAGCCAATATTAAAATTTGCAAATTCTCTTTGAAATCTATACGTTATCTTCTACTGTTACCAAGCATGTGAAAAAGTATCGATACTAAGCCTGATAAGTGTATTTAAATAACAGCTGTTGAGTTGCCAGTTGGCCGCAATGATTGGCAGTGCTGCCAGATCGATTCCACACGTTGACTTGCGCATATTGAATTTTTCACATTCGTTAAGATGGAGAGCAACAAGTTCGCCAAACTGCGGCAGCAATTTCTGTGTTGCTATCCCGTCAATAAGATGGCCTGGTCGGTAAGTGGATAACGAGGAATTGTAAATTGGCAATTGTATTGGATTTATTGTCATGTAGACGCTGCAACTGCCGCTGGAACTGGAGGAGCAGCGTGCCTTGATCGCGGCCACCTGTGGCCATCCGCTTAATCAACAGTATCCGGTGCGTCGCAGTTACCAGGAGGCATTCGTTAAGCGTCTGATGCATGTGCTCAAGGATCACGATGAGCTGCACGACGACATCTACAACAGCCTATGTGGCCAGCTGGCCAAAACCTCACTGGATGCAGCGCCAGCCCCTTCCATCTATGCCTATAAGCACTATATGCTGCAATCGGAGGAGCACATCACGCTGCGCGAGTCCACGAGCTTCGTCTGCGAGGGCACCACTGGCCTCTGCACGTGGGAGGCAGCCCTGGCACTGGCCGACTATCTGCTCGAGCATCCGAGCCTACTGGAGGGCAAAAATGTGCTAGAACTTGGAGCGGGCACTGGATTGCTTGGCATTCTGCTCAAGCACAAGGCGCTGAAGCTGCCCGTGGGCCAGGTGGTCATCACCGATGGCAGCAGCGCCTGCGTTAAGCTCATGCAAGAAAATATTTGCTTAAACTTTGAGAATGACAGCGACGAGGCAACGCCAAAGTGTGCCCAGCTGCGTTGGCATGAGGTCAAAGAGTTCCCCTGGTCGCAATACGCTGAACCCGATCTCCTGCTAGCCGCCGATGTCATCTACGATGACACGCAGTTCTCCTCGCTGCTCGCTGCCCTTGACTTTGTCTACGAAATGCGCAGCAATCGCTGCGAGGCTCTGTTGGCCAGCACCGTGCGCAATGTGGATACCCTGCACGATTTCATGGTGCAGCTGGGTGAGTACATATATCATTTGCATCTGTATTTCATTGCTCTTGCCAATCATTTGAATTGATGAATTAATGAGTGCTTTATTTTGTATATTGATTATTTGTCTTGCAGAGCAACATGGATATCAGGTAACGCCCTGTGCCAATGTTTCGTGTTGCAAAAGTCATTTTTGCCGGGACACCACAGCGGCCGTACAAATCGTGTGCATTAAGCGTTTAAACTAATTAGTAATTAAGCAATAGTAACATAAACAACAACAAGAACAATAGAATGAATGAAACTGCATCATTGGCTGATGGTTGGGATCGTGCCATCGTTTAGCCAACGCACATTGAGCTGCTCGATCTGGTGCTTCATGAAGATAATGCCATAGACCTCGTGCTGTATGTCCAGCAGCTTGGAGCGATGGGTGCGCGGCACCTTCATGCCGACGACCAGCGCCAGCAGAGATGTGATTATCATGAAGACAAAGCCCTGGGCAATCAAGGTGCTCTCGTCTTTGGTATAGAAATACGAGTTCTTCACATTGGCCACGAAATAGTAGTAGACGACGCTGGTGCTGACCAGCTTGAGCGTGTAGGAGGCGAAGATGATGCATTCGGTGAAGCGTAGATGCGTCACCTCCAGCAGCACAATCTGGAGGCTCGAATAGCCCAGCCCAAAGAGCACCAGCAGTAGCCAGAAGGTCACCTTCGAGCCGCTCGCCCCATAGATAATCATGGCCAGCATCGTGAGCACCAGCAGCAGCACTTGTGTCGTCACAAAGTGCACCTTGGCGGAGTAGAAGCACAGGCAGATGATGGCCAAAACGCTGCCACCAAAGATGACCCAGAACATGGCATCGATGTTGGCCAAATCATTCAGACGCATCGCATCGTTCAGGGCAAACCAAAAGACCAGAAATATGAAGAGTGCATACTGGATGGCCTCCACAAAGAGCAGCAGCAGCGTCACGTGCCACTGCTGATTCTTGGTCACATAGAAGAACTGCAGCCGCTTGATCACATCCGAGCGTGCCTCGAAGATGCTGCCATTCGCATTGGCAATCCGCAAATCGTTGTCCAGACTGTTGGTCATGTCCACCGTGCCCAGCACGTGCAGCACCTTCAGCCCAACGAGTATGGCCAGCATCACAATTGATATGGACAGATAGGTGGCTGCAAAGTTCACGTAGATGCCATCGGTTAGCTGCTCCGGGGTCGCCACTTGGCCCTTATAGTGCTCCAGATTCTCCACATACTTGGCGCCAATCAAACTCACCGCCGAGGCGATGCCCAGCAGATAGCAGCTGCAGCAGCCAGATATCATCAAGGCGCGGCTGTTTTTCGAGCTGATTGTGTGCAAAAATCCATACCCGGCCACAAAGGTCAAACTGTGCGACACATACGACATATAGGCGCCCACATGATCTGCGATAGAACAATTTCCATTCGATCAGACCGTTGATGCAGCAAGGAGACGAACACATAATTCACATGAGAGTGAAAGCAACAGAGAAAGGGGAAGAAAGAGAGAGAGGGAGATGGGTTATTAGCATACGTCAAGTATATAAATTAACATATAAATTATATGATAAGACATAGTCTATCTATATACAATCTTATTATAATCAATTTATTATTGCATTTGAAACTATTGCCTATTGAGCCATATTTTTTATATACTTATGTACAAGTGTCTAAAGCTTTTATTTGTATTCGTAAAAGCCTTTTATTGTATCTCTAGTTGATTTTATACATGAATTTCGACTAAATCAAAGGAGCCAAATATATATTTTATATACTCTGTAATTCTTCTTAGTAAGAGATATATATATCTAGCTAACTGTAATACTATTATAAGTTTTTATATTAGTTTTTAACTTGCATTTATATTCAGTGCCTT